GTTTTCTAATGACGGTCGCCGCCTTTGAAAGTGAAAAAAAGCTTTAGAGCCAATGGCATTTTTAGTCAAAATGCGGCTCGCGTTGTAACAAACAATAGTTTTATTTTCGAATTATCATTCCAACCAGAAACATAAACTGTGCTACTGCAAGCTTTTTTAATGACCAGCAGTTCCATCTACTGAACTGTAGTACGTAATTTTAAATAATTCATACTGTGCTTCATATCTGCGACTTTACAACCACAAAAGTACTTTTAAGCAATTAAGAGCTACAGAAAAGACAGACCCATTAGTAACACTTTGCTTTAGTGAAGTACCTCAAATCTAAATAATTAGTTTATTTTGGGAGTTAGTAATTTATTTATTGTTGGAAAATTGAAAATAACCCTATTTTTTTAAAAGAGAAGTGTTTTAAAATGGAATCTTTTTTTTTTTTTTTTTATTATTTTGAATGCAATAAACCATTTTATGTAAAAATAAAAGCTCTGCACTGCATTTATTTTATTTTAATTAAAAAACAAAAAAAACAAAAAAAATAAAAAAAAAAAAAAAAAACAAAAATTAAAAAATTTTAAAAAAACCTAATAATTATTTCCCAAAAACCAAACAAGCATTTTCAATCACTTCAAAAAAAAAAAAAAAAAAAAAACAAAAAAAAAACCAAAAAAACATTCATCATTCTCAAATAAAAATAAAAAAAAAAAAAAAAAAAAAAAAAAAAAAAAAAAAAAAAACAGCTGACTTTTAGTTTTATTCCTGTTAAAAAATCAATTCAATCACGTAACCAAACCAAAAGTAAATTATTTTAATTTCTATCTGAAAAGAATGATCAGTCATACAGATGCTTAAAATTATGTGTTAGAAATTACTTTCCCGATTAAGAAAAAAACAAAAAAATATTTATATAAAAAAAAAAAATAATAAATACTAAAAAACCCTTAATTTTAAAAGCGACTAAAACTGAAACGAAGTTTGGCGCCAATATGCCATATTAGTGAGATGATAGGCTTTTTGGCGATTTTTTATTAACAAAAAACGCAAAAGGCCATTAATATGATTTTTTTTAATTAACGAATTCTGTAGGTCGTCATTGAAATCGAAAACCCAATTATTACATTCAATCAAACCTTAATTACAATCCGAAAATGCAAATCCTACATTCGTTTTCCTTTGTTCCCTATTTTCCATGAAACCAAAAAAATTCTAAAAATATTAAATATGAGGTCTATCACAAGTAAAGAAAAAAAAAAAAAAAAAAAGAAAAAAAAAAGTAAAAAAAAAAAAAAAATTAAAAAAAATTAAAAAAAAAAAAAAGAAAAAAATAAAAAAAAAAAAAAAAGGGGTGGGGTGTTAAAAAAAAAAAAAAAAAAAAAAAAAAAAAAAAAAAAAACAAAAAAAAAAAAAAAAGAAAAAAACAAAAAAAAAAAAAAAAAAGAGGCAAAAACAAAAAAAAGAAAAAAAAAAAAAGGCAAATAAAAAAAAAAAAAAAAAAAAAAAAAAAAATATTTACTCGTCATTACAAAATAATTCATCATAAAAAAATTTCACTATGAAATAAATCTGCAAAAAAGGGATTCAACAATTAAAAAAGTGTTTATATGCATTCAAAATGTCAAAGAGCAACAGCAAAGAGTTAACCCCCACAAAACGAAACAGAGTAAAACACATGACAAAAACAGTGACATAACAAGGCCAGCGAAATACATTCCTCCTAAAAAGCTTCACCTTTGAACTGCATGAACCTCTTACAATTAACAAAAACAAAAAATCAGCATTAACCATGAACACAACACAATCCGGTGGTTCATTTAACATTACCAAATACCCTCATATAAAAAACCTTGCATTGTCCTGTTATTAGGTGTAATAAACCTTCAAAAATAACCCTAATGGCACGATATGCGGGTTCAATTTTTTTTTTTTTTTATTAACTTTGCATTCAGCCTGCCAAAACGCCCTCAAAATTCCATCTTTTACAACAGCGTATTAAGAAATGTACCAACGTTTCAATTCTGATTTCAAACAATTCAGAAGACTAAAGATAGTTTTCTATTGGAGTGCTGTAGCTGCATGTTGTATTGCCAGCCGAAAATCATATATTTATATATGTTGTACCAGTCTCACAGCATTTTCAGTGCTTGTGTCTGAATACATATTTCCTCTGTGTGTACGTATGTTTTGTATTCCCATCGGCATGCACATTCTACAATAATACCTGTGACAGAAATTCAGTAGCAGTGGTGTAGAATTCAACACATATTGATTAATTGCTGTATAAATTGTAGTGGTATTGGTCGCAGTACTACAGTAGCATTAATTTTGCAATTAGCTCACGGGATCCAGTTCCTCCTCTGTCGAAGTGTAAACTCCCTTCAGCTTACCAGCTAACCTTTGATTTTTCGTGAGTTCACACTCTTTGAAAAGAAAGTCCCTGGGAGACATAACCTAAGGCGATAAGTAATAGTTACGATCATCTATAGGACTTAACAGGCCCATAAGCAGCTTTCATAACTGGACAGGGCTGTCTTTTAAATAGAGAAAAAGTTTGATTCGACATTTAAATGAGGTAGTCTTATCAGGTTCAGTGTTCCTCCTTACTTGCTTCGGGAACATTACATGACCTGACTCGGAACAGGGAGCTTACTAAAGCTATGTTCAATAAATGAGGGAAGTAGACAAAACACACAAGAAGGGTATACGAAACCCTTTATTTTTCTCTCTTTACAATAATTTCCGGACTTCGGAATACAGAGACCAACCACTTGTGGTCTGAACGTAAGAATATAAAAATATTAACTAAACTCTAACTAGACTTAACTTTGGATTAATAAACAAGTGGCTACTTGAAGTTTGGCCGTATTAACAGAAAGGCCGTATGTAGTACAGAGAACTGTTAACACTACGATACGTTTAAAATTATCAAGAGGATTAAACCTCTGGCCTTGAAGGCAACCAGCAACCGAGTAAAACTGCTAAGGCAAGCGGCCTGCTTCTACTAACTCCTTCCTCTCTCTTGCTTGGCAAAAAGCCACAACTTAAGTACTTGGCGTTCGCAAGACAAATTTGCATAAATAAGTTAAAGCTTTTAATTCTGGCCGGAAGTAAAAATAAGAAGTAATAGTAAAGATTTAAAATAAAAATAAACGTTAGTAAAACTTAAGATCCTTACAGTCTACTCATACGCTGACTCTAGAGTAATGGATTCAAAGCTGTCAGCTTGTGTATGTGTAAAACAGTTGAAGGTAGTATTTGAGTTGAATTAAAAGGACATTACTAATGTATTTGGGAAAAGAGGAAAGGGAAGGAGTTTAAAAGAAAAAGGTTCCATAAATGATGCTATTACTGCTTTGAAAGCGCAGTTGTAGAAAGTTACTTTATCATACAAAGAATATGAAACAGAGATTATACTCTTCCTATTAATCTTAGTGTTATAATAAATTTCATAATCTTGTAATTAAGGCATAGATTTAAAAGAAATTTTTTCTATACTAATTCAGAAGTCAAACAACAAAAATCAGCGTTAATTTACAAAATTTTCACAGGACTAGTTTCGATGGTTTTACCGAACCATCATCTTCAGCTGCAAAACCGCAAATGAACAGATAGGAAATAATGTTTAGATAAGATAAGAAAGCCTGGACAAGAATAAGCATCTGTTGGCGAAACCAGAACTAAAACATAATTTCTCTAAAAGCCGAAGGCAAATTTGGATTGGAATTAGGATCGTTAACTAGAACAGAAAGATTTTTATGAATGTGAAATGCCTCTAGAAAATCCAGTTCTCCAATGGAAGATGTTTTTTGAATAATTTTGGCAGCAGAAAAATTTAAAGTGTGATTTTCGGACCAACAATGTTGAGCAACAGAAGACTTCTGTGTTTCCCTTTTTCTAACATATGCCTCATGTTCTTTGACGCGAAATTTTAAGGCTCTCTTAGTTTGGCCAATGTAAATTAAACCGCACTGGCAAGGAATCCTATAAATACCCCAGGAATTCATATCCGGAATGGGGTCCTTGAGTATAGAAGTTGGAATTTTATTGATGGGAGAGTAAACAACCTGAAAGTTAAATTTCTGCAAAATATTTTTGTTGTTTGACTTCTGAATTAGTATTTATTCGGCGTGTTATTGTGTCTTAAATTTTTTCTATGTTTAACAATTATTAATTTATTAAATACTTATTTCTGGAATCCCCCACCAAATTAGTAGGAAATCCTCGATAAGAAAAGTCTCCATATTTAAGAAACGTGCTGTCGCTGCTGTTACCAACATTACACCAGCCTGGCGGGTTTCCCTTGTAGAACCCATATTCCCTATGTACTTTAGTTTTCAAATCAAATTACTGCCAATATTTGAAAATCTTATTTCCTTAGTTGCTCTTTGTTCTTATTTGGAGCATCAGTCATTAAGTCAGCTTACAGGACAATATTAGTTTGACAGATAATTATTACTTGTAATGTTTGTGTATATCTCTTGCTCCCCCCTTTGTATTAAGTAAGTATCTTATGTTTAATAATGGGTGTTTTTCATGTGACTATATTTTGTGCTGTGTGTTCAACACTTCAAATTGCAAGGCGAAAATTAAAGATAGTTTTTTAAGCATAATTTTCTAATGGGTCTGAAATAAAGTTCTGTTTTCGATATTTTAAAATTTGATTGTGTCATGTATTTTACTGATTATAAATATAATGTTCCGTAATTTTTTAAAGCTTGCTGATAGCCTAGTTTCTAAGGACGCGAAACACTGGTATGTCAAACTAGATTCGATTATCGATAGCAGAACGGACTAACTGTTATTGCTTCGTAGTTCCAATTTCCCTTAAAATTTATTCCGCGAAGACTTCTTTTTTCAACTAGATACATAGCCTTTGAATGTTTTGATGCAATTAATTTACCAGCCCTAAACTACTTCATTTCGCTTTTGCCCTATGAAAATTCATTTGAATTGTTTATTTTGATATCTTGGATCTATGTGTCTAAAATATGTGTGCTCTTTTGCAGATTTCAATGGGGTAGTGATTCTGCTTCAGAATTGAGAAAGTATGTGTAACAATATGACAACCTGTCACGATCCATATCGAGAGTTAGAATTGTATCTGGAGAAAGCACAGGTATGTTTACATTTATTTTGACTTATACTGCAACTATATCATTCATGTGATTTTTCTTTTTTGATTTATAATATGCAGGAGGCTTTCAGATTAAAAGCAACATACCATAAATATTAATTGCTTTTAATTTTACATGATTCACTATATAGAGACAACGATTATCACGTACGAATTATCATGCGAGTCATTAGAATAAGTTTTTGAACCGCAAGTCATTGAGATGTTTTGCGGTTCAGAAAGAATTTGAACCGAAACAACATGGCTACACTATTAAACTAAATAAATAAAATTATATATTTATAATAATTTCATATAATTTCTCTACAAGAATTATAAGTCTTTTACGCACATTGTTTTTAAAAATTGCTCTTATTTTGTCTTATATTAGAAATTCATGTCTAAATCAAACAACCATTTCTTTAACAAAAGGCGTAATATAAAATGTTTAATGTCGTATTTGATCTCTAAATTGATGTTTTGTATTGCATCCTTTTTAAGTATGCTACATAATTAGTATTCGGGCAGTAGCTTAATTTAGCAACCCACCGTACCGTAATTTAGAAATCGTTATGTGTACATAAACATTTTAAAATAAAATATTTTGTAATTGTTTTAAAAATTTCACTTTTTTAACTCCAGCCTCTCTTGAATTTCAACCTCCTTCCATAGGAAATGGACTTTGGCCTTAGAAAATTTTACAATATTTAAGTCACAAATTTTCACCTTTGCTTTTCATACGCTGGATACTAAATTTACAACTTAATTAATAGTGAATAACGCGTCTTTCGTTATAAAGGAGATAATTAGAAAGGAAGCCGATTATTATTATTGTAAATCGAAACAGTAATGGGTTACGTTTTCAATAATGTTAAGGCAACATGAGAGTTACGGGATAGTGCGCGTTTTTTTAATTCTTATGCAGTTTTATGAAAGAATCAAAGACTTACTCAATCAAATTATCATCAACACTTCACCCTGAAGACGATTAATAATCTTTTCAGGTGTATTAATAATCTTTGCTCTTAGAATTGACGCAGTCCCCCGTGGATTTCGCTTACATAGTAAAACCGTATACTTACCATCAGGTGACCGGGAAAAAGTCTTGGGATAACTCTTCCATTCGTTTGTAATTGTTCCCATAGTCCAGAAATTAGTGAGTAATACCAAGCAAAATAGTGATTTGTTTAATAAACTGTCTCTACTTCAGTCCAGCCGAACATGCCACGCTGAAAATCATCCGGTTGTCGTCTTTGATTTGCTTATTTCCATTAGATAATTGATCTTATCTAATGTAAAAAAATAATCAGAAGCTTCTTTCAAAAATTTTTTACCAGTGATTAAATTCATCTACTCAAAGACCTCAAAAATGCATCATCTTCAATAAATGCATAATTTGCATATTTATGAAGAGTAGTTTGGGTCACATCATAAAATATTTGCGCATTCCCTTCTCACGGTCCCTGGGAGTTTTACCCACAGAAATTGTAGTACGCGTTTCAAAGCTCAAAATTTGCATTATTTGCTTAGCTTTTGGAAAGCAGTAAATATATTTTCTATGTCATCATGAAACTGACATCAGAGAAAAGTGAGGTATTTAATTGACCCCTATAGGAAGCTCATTTTTACCGCAAGTATAGCATTTTGGAAAGGAGCTCTCCTCAGATCGAGAGTCTTTCTTAAGACACGACGAGTCAAGCGCAAGTTGGTCAAAATTTGAAGATTGCAAATAGGCGGCATTTGATTAATGGACTTTTAATTGGAGGTTAAACACTGAAAGCTTATCTGTCTAATGTTATAGATTGTAGATAAACTGGCTGGTATTATAATATCATAGGAAAAAAAAAAAAAAAAAAAAAAAAAAAAAAAAAAACCCATGAAAGCTCCAGCAGCTAACTCATATTCGACCATCGAGGCTCCAGTGCTAATGAGTAATCAATGTTCCATTGCTTTAGTCATGCGTCCATTGGTGATTTCTCAAATCGAGGGGGAAATTCATTTACAGTAAACCAAGAGCCCGTATAAGGAAGACAACGCGACGAACTTATTTTTCAGGTAACAGCCCTCTTGATAAGCAGGCCGATCTTAAGAAACGGTACCTTGCCTAAAAAGGCACTGAAAATAAATAACTAGCAATAAAGTTATCATATAATAAACAATTTTAAATTTATACGTATGTATTTAATTTCAAATAGTTCGTTGAAAATATAGGTAAATCCATGAGCAACAATGGCTGTGAAATCGGGTTTACTAATGTATGCATTAAATTAGAAGCTCGACTGAGTTTGTCATGATGCGGATGTATAGTTTTTGATTATGCTAGTTTCTTTCTGGTACAGAAGACGAAAAGTTTTGATTTGCCTTTAAAATTGATATTGGAAATAGAGAGCTGGGTTTTGTTATGAAATTGATTCTTCCTTTCTTTCTTATGATTCATTTGTCAGTGCTACGTAGATTGGTGAACGAGAGCTCTGTATAGAAGAAGGGGATAATTTCATAATTGCCATTAATGGGTTTTCATCACCACAACTTCAAGTTTTGTACCGAGTGAATGGTAAAATTGAACTTGATTAAAAATGAGTGAGTTGCACTTGGCATTTAATTCTAAAGCATTTGTTAGTGGTCTTAAATTACAATTTTAAGAACTTACAATTATTTTCCCTACTGACGTTACTCTTCGTTAGTTTCCTAAGCCTGAAGATGATAAAGCTAAAATCCTGGCTAATTGCTAAAGAAGCTAAAGCTAAATCCTGGTTAATTGATTACTAAAGCTACTTTCCTGGCTTTTCTTGCTAATGCTGTCATCTCTTTCAACTACATGGATAAAATTAACTCGCCAGCAGTCAACATGCCAGCTAGAAGAAACGGAATCACTACAGGCCGAAGCTGCCAAAGCTGTCTCTCTAAACGCAGACTTGCTTGTTATTTAAACTCGCATAATTTGCGTTTTCGGGTGGAGTAAGGGAAACAATCTTAAGCACTTTACCTATGTGTCGAGGAATTCTCTTATATTTTTCATATTCTGCCACAGACCATATATGTTTACTGATTTCTACTATCAGAGTATCAAATATCGACTCGAGTTGCTTTCAATATGAAAGTGAATGGTTATGCATTAAAAATTATTTCCTGTGACACAGTTTGAACATTTAGAAAGCTAGTTGTAGAAACACTAGTAAAGTGGCCCTGGCAGCTGAACTTGGGTGGAGGAACACTATGTTCTGACTTCACGCCCATTGCTATCTTGTAACCTTCAAAACTATCATCCCCCCATTTTTGCTCTCGTTTACTTTTCGGCTTAAATTTAGAGTTCCATCGCGAGCTAATGGTCTCTTAGCTGATGCAGAATGGCAGGAAATTATAAGGTGTCACCGCACTATCTTGCGTCATTATCTTGCGGGCGTCTCTTTTTCTACAAATGCCATCCGTATAATGTGGTACTTTTTTTCGCTCTTAGGAAGAGAAACATTTATTTTAAGAGGTGTTTACAGTGACATTGGGAGGTAAATAGTAATCCAGATGTTACTAAAGTTGCGTTCAGAATTGTCTTATCGCCTAGCAGGTTTATTATTATTTTTTAAAACTTCTCCGGGAAACTGTTTGTGCATAATATTCTATTGACACTTACATTTCTTGTTTAAATGCTGAATTCATTTTTCTTATTGATTCATCTTGCATTTCTTTGCATTATTTGTGTGTATTGAAGAGTTTTATTTAAAAAGAAAAGATGAAAAGAAAAGTGATTTCGATCCTCCCGCCCCTGTCTTTAAAGCTGTTCGGAATTTTACTACTGTTGACACTTGTTGCAAGCACTTGAAATTAAAATGAATTGATGAGTTGTGAAATTGTGAACCCTTCCTATACGGATTGGCGCAGTACAGCACTTCAACAAAAATCATATTAACTGGTGCTGCGGATGAGTCCTCTTTCGTATGTAATGGTTTGCAATATGTTATGTTTGTGTGTTTTTTAATCCTGCTTGTAGGTGTCATCCAGCGTAAAACGGGAAATGTTGAATGAAAGCACGCATTTCATTGTAGCCGGAGATAATGAGGGTGGAGGAGGTGATGACAAAGATTCCCCCCTCCCAAATATACAAACTCTTGCATGCATTCCGTTTTGCACCTAAGAATGAAGCTTTTATGAGTATAAACGCGCTAGCAACAGCTTGGAGGACACTTGGCATCTGTTTTCACATATGAATGTTTCAGTACTTAGGTATAATCACGTCGATCGTGAAACTTTCTTCAGGCAGCGCGATTTAGTGCCAGTTATGGGTAAGTGTGACGTACTAGCACACTCATAACATATGCGCTTTCGTTTGATGTAACCCTGATTGATTGTTGATAAGCCACCTTTTATTTTTGTGAAGAAAGATAATTTATATCCTTAAACAATATAGTAAAAATAATTTATAATTGTTACTGCTTGTTATTGTAAGTAACAATTAATTATCCTTAAACAATATAGTAACAATAATTTATAATTGGTACTGCTTGTTATTGTAAGTAACAATTAATTTATGATTGTTACTGCTGTATTTTTTCGTCCGTTTAGATAAAAATGATTAAAATTTGGGTACTGTCTTTTACAGAACTTCAAGTAGAGTATTATTTTTAAAGTTATAGGAGCTTCCTAAAAAAAGGGGGTTGGTTGGTGGTGTTAATAATGGGCAGTGTAATGATTCACTGAATATGACCGAAAACTGTGGAAGTTTGTACTTATAGGGTTGAAAGTAGCTTCCAGTAAAATCGAAGAGCCTAACAGTATCGTAGAAATTAACTGATGTGTTTTTAGGAAGCGCAAAAACGAAGCGGGTCGAATTCTGTTTGTTTATTGAATAAGTAGACGTCATTTCCTTCAGGATACCGCATAAAGAATCGGCGCAGCTTTGGCATATACTTCCGCCATCTTTCATGGTTTGATTGTAGCCAACTTTCACATTCGCGTTAAGTACCAAAATTTCTTCAAATACGTGGCCCATGGCTAAAATTCGTACTGTT